CGTAATGGATTTCTGAATTAACTTATCCTCATTTTTTATTAGGGAAGAATCTATTGATCCTTTACTAATTCCATTGAAAGTTGATACTGTAGTCGGTGATCGTGACAACTTGTTGCGCCGTGCACGTTTGCGAAGAGCAGTATCTGAAGAAACCTGTTGAACAGAAATTTGGACAGTTGATGGTTCCATTTTGTAAATATAAAAATTCTACAAGAAGGAGGAAATGGATATAGGAAGAAGTAAGTAAGTTAGGATTAGGATCGTGTCAATATTAATAAATAGGTCACATAAATAAAGTAACGCGAAACAAGGCAAGTAATTCTAAAAGCAGATCAGAAGAATTTTTTTGTCGCAAGGTTTTGTGATAAACAGCCGCGAGATTAACCATGAGCTGTTCGAAACGTGTGGGTTATTCAGCGTTTTTGAAAGGTTCTTGTTCGTCAAGTAGTTTATTATAACTGGCGTCGTTCTTGTTTACATTTTTTCGTTCGTTTGAAATGTAAAAAGTACTTACTTGGAAGTTGACAAAATTATTAACAAAAAAGTATGAGACAACAAAAGTGTGGGATTTGAGTCAAGAAGTAGAAAGGATTGTTTTAGGAGTCGTGAATGATATTTTTGTATTTGATGTTGTTCACAGAGACATTAGTTTGCCTTCAACGTCTCGAGGAAGGAATGTGAAGGGAAAAAAAATTTGGGGTAGGTTAATTGAGGGGGTTTTATAAGTTTAATGAAAATCTAAAAAATTGGTGACAATTTGTCACTCAATTTGGACCAAAAACAAAAAAATTTACATGAGATGTACCCCAAACATAAGAAAATAAAAAAAATCTTTTTTTTCTTATTTCTTTTTCTTTTTCCTTTTTTTTTTTGATGAGTAATATCTATTGCGTATTATATTAATTTTTTTAATTTTTTTTATCATACTTTTGTCATATTAAACGAAAGTTGCTTACGTTGAGTTTTATTTGATTATTTGATTAGTAATAACAGTCATTCGATTTCAAAGTTCCGGTGACTTCGACACTCCGAATTGTTTGCCGTATTATAACGAAAAGGTTTTTCGGATTCAGAGAATTTTATTCGAATGTGACGTATCCTTTGTAATCCTAATGACCCTATGCATTTTATAACATAATTCCGAAGAAACTCAAACACAATACATGTATAATAATACAAGCTTGGCAACGAAATTCGCAATGATTAAATTGCTTTTATGATGAATATTATTTAGTTATTGGATAGGGGCGTCATTATATTCATTATAGTCATTATGTCGGACTTTTGATCAATATAGCCCCTCCCCAATAAATGGTTATCGTTCAGTCATTACGACTATATGACTAATGCGACAAATACTAAAACCATGACAAACCATGAGACATTACAAAATAATAATTCGTCGCATAGTCCTAATGTCCTAATAGCTGAACGATAACTATAGATGATGTCATACATATGTAACCACATGTTCAAATTAACGAATTTCATTGGACGAAATATTTCATTAATTCCAAAGGGATGCAATAATTCATCACACCAACTTTTATTAATGACATGTTTGATTTTTACAAGAAAAGAAATTTTGGATATACGGTAAATGAAAAAAAAAACATTTTTACAAGGATCAACTAATCGAGTTCAAATCGGAATAAAAATGATTAAAAAGGGGACTTCCAAAATTTTCTTCTCCTGGCAAAATCTCTCTTGGCATTAATACATTTAATAGGATCATTGATTAGAATGGCATCAATATTGCCAATTTCAAAACATTTTTTGATATCATTTGGATCATCTAAAGTCCAAACAAATAATTTTTTACCCCAGCTTTTAATTTGTTTAGCGAATCCGGTTTCATCTAATAAGATGTATGGATATTCTATATTAAAACTTTCCACTTCAAGGAACGTTTTACGTGCCTCATCGATATCGCTGCCTATATGAGCAATTGGAATTTCTGGGAGAACTTTACGAGCTCTCATGAGAAATTCTGGTGTCCATATACCGAGATATAATTGTGATGAGAAATTGTATGGAGCATTGGAGTGAATTATGTCGGCAATCGCATCAAGGATTTCAATCCTGTTATCTTCCTGCGAAGAAAAGAGAGAGAGTGTGTGTGTGTGTGTGAACATTTCTGGGTATCGGTGGTTGACTATCTAATTTTCTCATCGTTTACCTTAATATCAACAATTAAGAAGACATCAACATTTTCGTCCCGTTTTAATAAATCCAAAACATCTTGAAATCTTGGTATCGATTCATTATCACTATTTAAATATTCAATATAACCATACCAATTTTTATCATCGATGAATCCCGTACCATTTGTGGTCGTATCAAGAATATTATCGTGCATCATGATAACTTGTCCGTCTTTTGTAAATCGAACATCGGATTCTAACGCATTTGCTCCGTAAATTAATGCTTTTTGTAGTGACTTTAGTGTGTTCTCCGGAAATTTATCCGGATATCCTCTATGTCCCACACAAATTGGCTCTGATGGTTGCGCTTTTTTTTTAAAAAAAAAAAAGAAATGAAATGAAATTGAAATGAAAATGGATCGTATTCTTAATCAAAAGATTTTAATTTACTCAAACATAAGTTCTTACCGAGAACATTATGACAAAAGATAAATATTGAAAAAAGCAAAAACCCTACTAAAATGGTTAATGGCATTGTCTTTTTTTTATACTGTATATATATATATTATAAGAACTTTTGTTCGAGAATGTCGCAATCCTTTTAAATTTTATCGTTGATAGAACATTAAACATTGAACAATCAGATTATAAAACATTTTAAACAGCGATAGCGATCAATCTTTGAAATCAATTTTAACCAACTTTGTTTAAAAATTCAGCATGTAAAAATAATCATATGAGAGACGATCATATCAATATGGGACGGTTATGGATTAAGGAAATCAAAAATCTTTGACTCGTGCGACACTATTCATGGTCGCGGGTTTAGCTTTGTAATGCATATCATTAATGCTAAAAAGCTGTTGGTACTTGTAATAATCGCTTGAAGATCACGTCGGTTTGTCTTGTTATCCTAAATATGTATTGCTTAGCTTTCGTTACGTATCTGAATGATCACTATTGCTGCAATCAACACCTTTATTTTTTAAAATCAAATCAAAATCACAAAAATTTATGTTCATAACAAAGACATATTTATTTCGATCAGCATATCTGAAAATTTTTAATACGATCATCTTTGAAAAGAAATAAATTGAAAAACGATAATACAATCAACCATTAATTGCACAACTCCACAGAGAATAAATTGAAGTGGTGCTCCTGTTTGAGTATAATAAAATGCTTTAAATGCATCTCCAAAAAACCATGTTAATAAAATAGCCGGACTTTAAGGGGAAAAAAAAAAAATTTGTTGGAATTTTAATGGTTATTATTTTCATCTTAATTTTTTTTTTTTTAAAAAAAAAAATTTTTTACCTGAATCCTGCTACAGATCTTTTTTGAAAATTTTGTAACGTTTGTGGCATAGGAACAGTACTTTCGATACCAAGTGCCTACAAAAAAAAATTATCAACTTTTTTTTCTTGTTTTATTTTTCACATTCAAAAAAGAATTCATACCGCAAAACCTAATAATTCAATAAACCAATATTGATCACCCAACGCTAAATAAGAAATTGATAAACCACCGACTAATAATCCAAGAAAAGTTAAATATGGACCTAAATGACTCCAATTCCAAAATTGTCTTTGTTTTGGATTATATAAAGAAGAATACGGCAAACGATATTTTACACTCTCATATAAAACTATTAATTGTGTGATTATCATCATGATACTTTGATATAATAATACATCATCGAATCTTTTTCCGAACCTACGATATAATAAATGTATTAAAAAGGACGGGCAAACGAATTTTTCTGATCAACTTTAAAGAGGTAAAACCCACCAAAAGAAGACTCGAATGATGCTATCGACAATAAATAAATTAAAAATTAAAAATTAACGTTATGACACTTCTCATTGTTATTTGTTATTCTTATTATCTTACCTACTAACTAACAATATTCCACTAGTATCTAAAGAAAATCCTGCACTCGATTTAGTTTTACGAAATTTGGATATTTGATCAAAATATCCTAATACCGGCCCAATGACCATTGAACTTTGTAAAAGTATTTCTGCCATGTCCATAAATTCTTTTTTGAAAGGTTGGTGCTTTTATTTATGCAAATCGGTCGACATTTAAGGTTACATTACGTGCACAACATAAATTAAAACTTTAACAAATTTGGATGGTAAACTTGTCGATCACAAAAATTTAAAAGAAGATAATTATAATACCTAAGGATCGGGGAATGACGCATAATAACTTGAGAGATATTATCTTTGACAATTTCGTATTAATTAGAAAGAAGATGATGATTGTAAAATTTATGATTGCTCCCAACGGTTGGGCAAAGATTCATGAAACGACGTAAATCGGAATGATATCTTTTATCAAGTTTTTTTTTGTTGAAGGTAATCGGAAATAATTAATTTAAACATTGTTAAAAATGATAAGCGCTTTCTTTTATATAAAACGTTTGAAATGTACGCTTTGTAGATTTGACGTCCTTTATTCATTTTGAATTTCTGCAACATTTATAAAAAAATTGCGGTTACGTAAATCCATAATCCAGATATCCAATTAAAACATTTCGACGAATGAAATTTGTGGATTTGTTTATTACCAATTTTGTGTTACGTAAATATATTTAGAAAAATAAAAAGTATTTACAAAAAAGTAACTTTCTTTTTTTATCTAAATACACCTTTTTTATAAATTTATAGCGCGTCCTTTTTGTTAAACTATTTTTCATACGTGTCAAAACGCGTAACTCAAAAGATTATAAAAACTCCCTTTTTGTATTTTGAATTCAATTTTTTTTTTTTTTTCACACTTAATACTTGTTTTTTGTTTTGTTTTTTTTTCCCTATAAACTTGAAGTAAGTTAAAATGTCTTTCGACTTCAAAAACCCAAGATAAAAATGGACTGACTGTTTACTTTAGGTAAGAAATTATTTTTGACGAACTAGTCTATTAAACTTGCGTCATTGTTGGTTCACTTAGGTAAAATTGAAAACAGTATGGTAGAGAACCGGAAGCTCTTCGTGGCCTCCT